CATCGTCACCGTAACGCACACCCAGCCGAGTGCAGGACCTGCAATCACTGAAAGTGTCGAGGATGCATTTCTAAAAGATAATCAAGGCAACGTGCAGGCACCCACAATGGAAGTTTAACGATGATCTTTTTTTAAAAAAAATGTTAGCGGCCAATCTACATACATTGTCTACTTAGCACAAAATAAATGAATAATTTCCTAAAGCCTGTGATCCCTCGGCTCAGAGGCCAATACACTCAACCCGACACACATCCCAGGGGCCCTCCGTTGCCACGATCCAATTATAAGCTGTCAGGCCCCCAATCTTCAACCCTTGATAACGCAATCAATATCTTGATCAATATTGTAAAGTAACAAAAAAGGTTGCTTAAAATAGCAATTTTTTTTTCTCTCCCGCCCCTGACTTTATTAAAGAGATTTATTATGGATTTGGGAATTGGTGGTTATGTGTGGAAATACTGGAGATGCGAGGTGCGGAGAAAATTGCTTAAGGAACATTAAAATGGTTCTGGCCAGAGCCGCTTGCCTCTGCCAATATCATTCTCGTCATCGTCGTCACCGCCTTGACTATTATATTAATCATCACCATCATTCCCACCGTCATTGCTCCCATCAGTCATGTGCACGCTCTAATACTAAAGGTCAGCATATTGACTCTCCTCCTTTTGCATTCTCTACATTAGCCTCGCGTACGGTAACGTGATACCCGTGTGAGTGTACGCTTGGCGTACAGAACCGAAGCTCTCAAGCCATGCGTGTTGCCTCTTGGTCGCGGGCTTGCCCTCAATGGAAGCTGTCGATAATTCGGGACAATGGGGAGGAGGAGTGGTCAAGAGAAGCAACGCCACATGAGGGCCATATGGAGCTCGCGAACATCTGCTGTTAAAAAATGTCACATCATCATAATCAGCCATGGTCAATCGACTGCTTGGATGAAGGCCACCCTAATCTTCTGAAACCTTTCATCGTCCTGTGATTAGTGAACGTGCCCATAACCAGATATTTTATTTGGGCGGCGTAACTTTAGCGGTTTCCAATTTCTTCATGTGGTCAACAACAGTGATGTATGTGATACGAGTTTGAAATGAGTGGGGATTATCAAATAGCCATAGGAACACATCGGTACTATGACAGATTTGCTCCAGTTGAACACGTGGGCTTTCGCGACCAATATTATTCATAATAGGTTTTTGGGTTAGATCGCGTAAACATAAGTCTGTCGTTAAACCCGCCCGCCACCCGACACAGCCAATTAGTAAATTCTCCAACACACAACCGGTGTGCTGGAACTAGTAACGAGTTGGCACGTTGTGTGTGCGTGACAAACCTTACAATGTGGCTGTCGAGTGGTGGTGACGGGTCGAACGACACATGCACGCGATCTCACCCACAAACACCTCGATTGTGGAGATTCTCTTATTGGCCCACGGGGCTGTATGTCGTGAATCCACGTGGCACCTGCACACAGATGAATTCATTTCATCGCTCCATCTCGTCTCTCTGGTGACGCGCGCTGCTGGCAATTGAAGTCGTCAACAAAGGACACGAACGTGAAATGCGACTTGCCCAAACCCTTCACGTTGCTCACGAAGAGAGCCATCAACGCACAAGACAACAATCACAGCGGCAGCAGCAAGCCGCAGCTGGCGTATTGAACTAAAGCAGCAGTCGGGAACCTATGGCTCGCGAGCCATATATGGCTACTTCCAGTGACGGCATATGGCTCCCAGACAATTTTGAGTTGAAAAAAAAATTGGTTTGGAACTGATTTTAAAATACTTGTGATATTGCTGAATAATACTGTGTCATTTTAAAGTAAACAGAAATTAGTTTTGAAGATAAATTTCACGGATCACGCCTGCATGAAGCTCAACCTCACCACGTATGAACCTGACTACAAGGCCATCAGCAAAACCATGCAGCACCAGAAGTCGCATTGAAAGTAAGACCTATTTAATTTATTATACGTTAAAAATACTATAAGGCTCTCAATGCAATATATTTAGAAATATTTGGCTTTTATGGCTCTCCCAGTCAAAAAGGTTCCCGACCCCTGAACGAAAGAGTTCATTCCACCACCCCAACCAGTACAACTATTATTTGCGAACCTAATTAGAACGGCGATTGTTTCAGCCGTTAAAACAACACGACACACTGGCGCTGCGTCAATCATCGCGGCCCTCGGCTCAACAAATTCGAAGTTCTTTTAATTGGTACTAAATTAATATGATTACATGCAGCGGAATACATTTTGCCACGGTTATTAATGGTTATATTTGTTCTCGATTTGAAGCTTTCGTGACTGCAATGATTCATATTCTTCGGTTTTTTCGGTAAAGTCACGTAGGTAAAAAATTAAATTAATAAAAGTAAAATCAAATAAAAATAAAATAAAAATCACGACGTTTCGGAGGCAACACAAGCTTCCGTCTTCAGATGGAACCGTCACAGCGCGCTTGCTGTATCAATTTTAATTGTTTTACCTACGTTATATTTGTTGTTCCTATACAAGCCTCTCTAGGTCTACAACGCCCGAGTTAAGGGTAAATATGCTCAATTAATGAGTGGTGCTGCTCCAATGAGCCGCTGTTACCACCCCGTCGCAATTGGAACTCTGCCCACCCGTGCTAAATGAATTGCCCCGTAATCATCGAGTCCGCGCCTCTGTCGAGAGCCACGGCAATCTTGAAGAGGGCGGCTATTGTTATTGTTGTTATTATTATTTATCGACTTCCTTACCTGCGTGTGGGAGACGCTCCGCGGTGCAGTAACAGCAGCAGAGCAAGGCGAATGTCAAGAGTGGAGCTTTTTAAAGGATCCTGTGGATTATTGGGGTTTTTTTTACCCCGGGCTAATTTTGCTAATGTCTAACGCTGCGCCTAAAATAATTACTTCATTTGGCATTAGCACCATTCATTCGCACCTTTGTGATAGCCAGAAGGGGGGGGGGGGGGGGAGGAGCGATGTTGCTCAGGTGTTGAACAATTACTGCACGCAACTTAAATGTATAATAATTTACGGTTAAATTTCGATTTAAAGCTTTCGTGGCTGCCGGGATTCATCTTCTTGGTTCATTCGGTAAAGTCACGTAGAAGGGAAATAATAAAATAATAAAAATAAAACATAATAAAATACAATTCTCACGACGTTTCGGCCACAAGAGGACGGCTGTTTGCGTTATGGCCGAAACGTCGTGAGAATTGTATTTTATAATGTTTTATTTTATTTATTTTATTATTTCCCTTCTACGTGACTTTACCGAAAGAACCAAGAAGAGTTTACGGTTACTCTTTCAAAAATTGTATCGTGATGCCGGTCGCCCCACGAGGCTCAGCATTTTAGAGAATAACGTCGCATCTTTAATATCCGCTACGAAGCGGCGGTAGGCACGGATGTACGGCGAAGACGCCTGCCAGTCTTCACCCAGGGCCAAGCTAGGAACCGTTTGGTTCTCGAATCCCCGCGAACCTCAGCAAGCAAAGGGGGCGAACGCGGAGACAGCACGGACACCTCGACCCAAGGCCGTAATCATAATATATATTCAAATATGCTAAAAATTCCCCCCCCCCCCCCCCCCACAATATATCGCTATAAAATAGATTTCTGTTGATATGATTGTGGTTATGGTTGTACTTTATTAATCCCTAATCTCTGCCATTACATACAACGAAACAAGAAAAGGTAAAAATAAAAAAACAGAGCAATGTAATACACTATTATACATTATTGTAAAAATAAATAAAAAGTCCATCCCATGTGTTCGTGAATTTTTTTCATATTTTAGGCAGGAAATGAGTTTACAAATTTAGATTTTTTTTTCTGGGGGGGGGGGGGGGGGGGGAGACCCCCAGACCCCCTGGAACATTTGGTCCCCCCCAATGTTGACTCCATGGCTCCGGCCTTGCCTCAACCCAACAACAACCTCTGCTGCGACCTCAACCCGCGGCCTCACCGGAGCGGACCGGTGGGCGCGGTGGGAGCGCGAGGAAATCGGACGGCGAAGTTGTTGATGCTCAAAGGACGCAAAGAATGTCCCCGCAGCCAATGAGCTGCCACGAAGGGCAGAGCAACCGGAGGTAGACGAGAGAAGTCCATCAATACTGCCGTTGGGACTGGTGGGAGGCAGTCGCTGCCAATTGCAAAAAAACAATCCGTTTATTCAACCCGGAGAAACCTCGCGGAGCCTTTAAGACCCCGTTTTGGGAGAGTACGTCTCGTCGAAATTCTCTCACTGAATGTGTTTAAAGTAAAATGTGTGGACAGACATCTCTGCAGATCCTTGAGGTCGGGGACTGACTTCGTGTACTGCGTCCGACAGACACCACTCTCTCTCTCTCCGTCCTGTATATTGGCGTCTCTCATGCACACGATGGCTCCATCCGTGTGTGATCCACCAAATTCACCCACACATCAGCAGCAGGGTGAGTGGCTAACCATATCCTAAAATGCCTCGTGTCTCGGAAAATATCACAAGTGTAACGAAGCAACGTTTCCTCTACTAATATCGATGTCACGATACGCACACTGAATCATGTAAGGATCGATGTTTTTTTGTAATTCATCAACACTGCAATGTGTTTATATAAACCCTGCATCCACTAGAGGTGCAATCATCTATGCTTGAATCGCATTTACATTTCATTGAATCGTGAAGGCAAATTGTTGCATCAAGAATACACCGAAATTTCACATACATACTCAGCATGACAATTCCCCAATATTAAAGCCCACAGTTATAGAAAATGGGTTCGAGTACTGTGCTTACGAATCCAGAGACCCGAGTTCGATTCCCAGCCATGGTTAACATCAGTGGCGAGCGATGTCTGAACCGGCTCTTTACCAACCCGCACAGTTCGGTGAAGTATGGTCAAACACCAACCATAGCGGACACAAGCGTGGGGGAGGTCTTCATCCAGCAGTGGGATTGACAATGGCTGTAAAATCATGGGAAGTTTATTCAAGCAAAATAGAAAAAAGACAATAACACATTGGTATATTTCATTAATTCTTATCGTCATTTTTTTTATTATAATTCAACTCAAGCAACACTTCCAGAGCATTACAGGGTTCCAGAGGACAGACGCGAAGGATGATTGGGCCGACTCTACGCGTGCCCAGTCTCTAACGTGACGACTACGATTGCACTGTCTGGAGCCACAATGGTATAAGCGCAACCTGTTCACCTGCATTCACTTCTACCCCGGGAGATATAGAATCAATAACCAACCCACAAGCCTGTGCAACATATACCCATCCCATGAACTGATCGCACAGCAAACACACACACATTGCCCCGAATCAACATACAACATACACAGTGCTGTCATTGATCAAGCTACACAGTGCATGTCAACACGACCCAATATGGTCGCTCGACTGTTATTATATCCCCCAACTGCAATCGATAAAGCTTAGAACGAATCTATGTACAGACGCCGGGCAATGACACAACTTTTTACCAGAGCAAAGCAGAGATCCACAACTCGCAAATGTTCACGAGAAATGGTGCAGGCAGCCGCGATGTGCTGCAGGGTTACGTCATTTACAAGGGCTACGTTGTTACGATAAGGCATCTGTGAAATTCCCCCTTGAGAGACCTACTCACAACCTGCACTAAACACAGTAGACCACGCAGCAACTTTGATACAATCTCTTTTCTGCTCTCCTTAGTTTTAATTCAAAATTCCCAGTCTCGCAAACTTTCCATAAAAAGATATATCTTAAACAGATTTGGCAACAATCCCCTCTTGCGCAACCCAGCTCTATATACACGGCCTTAAGCACACTACCCTATATATTATACGTTTATGCAAAACTGCAAGTATTTCCTTTTAATCCATACACAGTATAACTTAGCACTTGACTGGTGGCAACAATTGTACAATGCATGTCACGAGCACACTATACATAGGTTTGCACACAATGCAGTCTGGTACTTAAATATATTAGAGCCACGCCGACACTTTGCATGTCAATTATTGGTGGATGTTAAAAATACACTTCTACCATTATAACTTTGCCTTTGAGCCATGACATAAGCTCTCTTTCGGTTTTTTTTTTAACCAGTGTTTCCAAAAGTCTAGAAATAAACGACAAAACAGATCGGGTGCAACAAACGCCGCATGAAAATGTGGCCACGGCACAATCCGAGCATGAACGATGCGGGCATCCCCCCCCCACCAAGCCCTGAACTTTTCAGCTGTAGGTTTAAGTAACGGGGTTAAACAGAAGGCACCCACTGTGCCAGCTCCTCGCGACCACCTTATTAAGAGCCACACACTCCAGTCGACAAGCCCGGAGCTCTCCGGGGGGAGCGGGTGAATAATGCAGTCTCGGATGTGACTGAAAGGCAAAGTTAAGAGTCTGATGTGCGCACATCTGCCAGCAAGATCCCCCATGCCTTCACGAGCTTTTGAAAACTCATGTTGAGACGTGGCTCTCCATATGTGTCCACACGCGGTTGTTTCACCGCCACCTGCAAGCATGTGGAAGCAAGTTACAAGTGGTAATCCTCCACCACGATACAACGAATTGAACGTACATGTGCCGGTGTAGCTGGATGGAGACAAAATGCCGCTTTGAGATTCTCTGCCCAACATTTGATTTGCGCGATGGGTGAATTTTACTGTTGGCAATCACTGTTGGTAAAAACGTCCCAACTGCGAAATGCACGTACTTCTTCGCACTTAATATACATTTGGTGGCAACTCACGGTTGCAACCAAAAATCCTGACGATGCCTCGTTTATAGTATCAGCAGCGAATGGGGCAGGGACAAGTAACCATCTTGGTATCTATATCGCAGAAGCCACATTGGCACCGCATCATGCACCATTACGATATGACCTCGAAACCATCTGCGGAAGAGTAACGGTCATCACGGTGGCCGATCTGCCCATCGCACTGCCGCATTGTCTCGTCTTATCCGGCTCCCGTTTCAAACGTCCTCATTAAGCATTCGCAAAAAAAAACACACGCAGGCATCCGTCGTCTGTAAATAAACGATGTTAGGACATGCAGAAACGCTGCGTCGCAAAGATGCGCGCGATGCAACTCTCTTCGCGTCAATCTCTCGGACACGTCGCGTTTTGTACAACCCGCCACTTATTTCTGAAGATCATTTTGGCAATAAAAATTGAAGAGAGCGTCAGCAAAAGGCCAACGAAAATAAGAAACCGAAATAAAAATGGCACTGGCACTTTTTAGCAGCGTTCAGAGAATCTTTTTTTTTACGGCAAACCATGCAAGGGAGGTCCTCCCCGCCCCCGTCCTCGCACGAGAGCGGATTTGACGATCGTTTGTCTTCCTCCTGCGGAAGTCTTGTCGAACGCAGAAGACACGGCTTTGTACTTGCATCCCGCGAAGCTTTAAATGTACACCTAGCCTTCGTCGAGCTTCCCGGGTCCTGTGATGTTTGTTACATGAGTTCTCACGAAAGAATGCGTTCCGTTTCTAGTTTTTCTTTTGCTCATCACCATTTCGGAGTGCACGCTTGTTCTTATTTTCAGACGAGGGAGGAGGAGGAAAAAGAGACTAAATTGATGGAGGGGTTGTGGGGAAGGGGGCCGCTCTCATCCATGCCGCCCACAGTGTCTGACCTTCAAGTAAACCGCGAGGCGTTTAAAAATAACGCCCCGTGCTTTCGTACTTCACGCTGCCGTGCGCACACGCCCGTGAGGGTTTATCGCTTGGGGAAGGGGCAACGCAAAATCCACGATTCCCCTCCATCCGGCGGCAGTGAGCGCTTTAAAAAAAAACTAAGAATAAAGAGTTCTTGTGAAAGTCAAAGCAGTCCTTCAAACTCCGTACAGCTGCGGTCCTTTTTTTTGCGGTGCCATGTGAACGCGCGTTCAAGTTAAACTACCGTATAGGGTTTTTGTTGTTGTACTATTATTAATTGTTTAGAAACTTTCAACAAATTGTTTCCACCTGCTCTTGTAACCGGTAAACGAAAAACTTTTTTTTTTCATATAAAAACATTTTCCGGGCAAAAGCGGTTAAACTCTGCCAAGCGCAAAACAACAGCAGCAAAATAAAGCGATAACGTAGAAAGAAGGCATGTAAGGTCAAAGGAGAGACACTTCCCTTTTTGCGTAACAATTACAGCATCTCTTTTACGACAAGGGGAACGGAATTGTACCGGGGTCTTTGTTCTCATCGCAGGCTAACATCGATTCTCCTTGAAAAATGCCAAACTAAAGTTTACACCAACAAAGCGTGGACATCCCATTACACACACGCAGCCTGTACACTCTTCAAAGGGGACGTGGTAAAATAAGACATTACGAAACCATGAGGGACAACACTTAAAAATAAAAACGTGCGCTATTTTTAACACGTGACCACCGCCTTCAAACGTGTCAATGCTCTATTCCGAGACAAGTCCTTTTTAAGGGCCTGCGGTAAAGAAAGCAGAAAATTGAAATAACAAAAATGGGCATCCGCACACAAGTTGAGTTCGTGCACAATGTGGAACGAGGACAGACACCGTCGTTGACGAGATAACACAAATACGTGCCCCGTCACAACAGAAAACCACGGCACGAATTCGTTACACACACGGTGCAGCACTGGAACCAGTGTTGGGCTCTGCAGGCATCTTGGAGCATTTAGTTACGTACTTCAAACTTTGAAACAAATTAAATTCGTGATAAAAGTTCAGCCACTGGGCACTTCTCACGTAATTTCTTGCTCACACCACTGCAGGCGGAAGGGCCTCCAAGAGGGCTGTGGCTCTGGAGGGCATTTGGGCCGGCCGACTCTTTGGCACTCACTCACCAGACATCCTGGGAGAGGTGCGAGTAGCCACGCTGGATCCCACCGCACTCGAGTTGCTCAGTGGGTGGCCAAGGCCGTGTCCAAGGTTCCCCCCTCGCGTAGCTTTATTTAACTCAATCACGCACTCTTGTTCGGCCAATCCTTTAATTAACACACCGAAGCAACCAAAAAGGAATATGTCTCAAGAGATAATGTTCTGTCTTTAAAATATGTTACATTTCCAATGGTTGCAGCCTGTCAATTGGCCAAAGAGCAATGCAGTGAGAAGTATGAATTGTATTTATCGTGATTATATTATCAGAGAGTCTATTGAGATCATTTTTATCGCAAGGTAGACCAGGATAACAGCGACTATCATCATCACCAACCACGATGGATGCCTGCCCAAGATGTTCCAATCTCTCTGCCCTGCGTCTGCCTGTCACAGTCCATCTATTACCTGCAAGGGAGCTGATATCAATTGGCTCCATCCCGTCCATTGAGGCCCTCTCGTGCACGTTCACCCCATTGGTCGCCATTCCATCATTGGTCTCAACCACCGGGACGTGGTCCCCTCCAGCGATCCCGTAAACCTGTTATGATTGTGATATTTCAGACGCAATCGACTCTCGCGTCCGCGCCTCGCTGCTGTAATAGACTCCTGAGAGGGCTGCCTCTATGGCAAGCGGTGTGGTAATCACGAAGCTAACCAATTCCATCTCGCCCGAGCGATGGACAATAGATGGACCACAACAACACTCCAACCGGCAAACAACCATCCCAGGGAAGAGGTGACACCTCTTGGCCCTGGGCTCCTCACACACGGAACAGGTGATAGCAACATCGGCAAGATAACAACATTGAATTGCAACTCACATACTGTCCCCGCTGCTCTACGTGAAACGTGTACGTTGCTTTTAGACACCGTGAACACAAACAATAGCCACGCGCTGCAACTCGGATGACCGTCTTTCACGCTTTTTGTGGCGGTAAGGGCTCGGAACTTGATGCATCGAGACTTCCTGGCGAATGGATGACCCCAAGCACTTCTGCGATGATTTTATCCCCAAAATTGTGATTACAGTATTTTAAGAGTGGCCAGGAATTTAACTGCAATGCAACGGTCAGTGCAGCCTCGAGCACTCAATGCACACCACCCCCCCCCCCTCCTCCACCGTGCCCCCGTACAATTATTTTGGAAATGCAGAATTTATCAGTCACTGGTAGTTGATCGCAAAGTTTTCTGCAGTGCAGCTGTTGGTGAAGGTCACCAATTCTACGAGCACCATGCGACCTGCTGCAAATTAGCAGCTCGTATCAAAAGGAGATGAAAAATATGAAAAAAAATTGTTAAAAAAATACCAACAGCAAATCTGTACGTCAAAATCTTTAAGTCACATGGCTTTGACAGAGCTTTAAACATGAACCGAGATTTAAGTATTATTTTATTATCCATTTGTCCAAGTAAACCATCTTATGTACTAACCATCATAGCATTTTTAACACTGCAATTTGCCAACAATGAACCGATGAAGGCAGTGGTCGAGCAAAATTAACTTTTCCAAAAGAGATGATAAAGGGTCCCCCCCGCCCTAAGTGGAGAGTTGGATTTAGTTTTGCAATGAATTGTCGCATTAATTCTCGAAAGGCCAAAAGGCATTCCATGCGTGCACAGCTTCACTCGGGCTTCAGCCGTAGCAGTGACCCTACATGTCCAGCAGTGCTCACAAGGTGGAAGCCAACTGCTTCCTCAGAGACCACCACACTCATCTGGCGGCTTTCCATGTCCCTCCAGCAATGCGCCGAGGTATGCGTCTTGCACATGCAGGGGGACACCGATATTATAAATGAATGAAAGATAGGTGCCAGCATGGAAAGCTGAAATGTTAATGGTGGTGTCGCCCCCGCGGGATGGAAATCGAGAACAACCAAAGCATTTTACATGACCATTGGTTGGGGCTAAAATTGGACATTTTATTTTTATAGGGCACCAGCGCAGAACCAATTCCTCTCCGTAAGTGCGCGACGACCAAGTGCATCACACGCTCGGTGAAGCGTTCACGGGGCCATGGGATCAATTTCTCTTTGTCCTGCTTTTGAAAAAAAAAAATAACCTGGAATCTGAAATGCATTGGGGCGACCCACCCCATTGTCAGGTAATATAAAAGTAAGTGCAGTTTCACGCCGACAGCGAGAGGTGTGGTGTGAGAAGAGACGGGGGGAGGGGGGCGGGGGACGGCACCGCTTGCCAGTGTCCGCAAATTCAATCAGGACGCTCGTCACGCGAGACGGCGAGTGCAGCGGGGGGGGGGGGGTCGGGGGGAGGCGTTTGCGTGACCCCCACGCGATTCAGCGAACGCTAAAAGGGCGGCCGGCTTCCTCCGTAGCGTCGACGGCCGCTCGAGAGACGGGGTGTGGTCACTAAGGATGCTGCTTTGACTCGGGCGCAGCCATCGGACAGGGGGGGGGGGCGGGGGGAGGGGGACACCCTCGCCGAGATGGCAGCGCAACGCCTCGGATGCCCAAAACCTCTCGGGGGAAGAGGCCCTGCCGGTGCCGAGCCGGCGCCGCGCGCTCAGCTCGCCGCATCGTCCCGTCGATGAGCGGGCGCCCCCCGCGTTAGGGCGTGTTGAGCGGGTCTCCCATCCCGGCGCCCGTTCCCCCAGCTCCCGCGCTGCTGTTACCGCCGCTGATGCTACCGCCGCCGATGCTACCGCCGCTGCCGCCACTGCCGCTGCCGCCACCACCACCTCCGCCACCGCCACCACTGCCACCACCACCGCCACCACCGCCTCCGCGGTCGTCGTCGTCCGGGTGCTGAGCGTCGTCGTCCGGAGGGGGGTGCACGGTGAGGGTGCACGCGCGGATGCCGCCCAGAGACTCGGGGAGGTCGAACACCTTCTGCCACTCATCTCGCTCGGGGTCGTAGCGCTGCACCATCTCCACCATGCAGCGGCTATTCCAAGAGTAGCCGCCCACCACGTAGATGCGGCCCTGGCGATGGCATCGGAGTAAACGAACACCAAAATGTTACAAAAACGGCTCTCAAATAACACCAAATAGAAGGTGCTTTTACACGACTCGTTTTTTTTTTTTACAAGAACGTTTAAAATAAATTTACTGACCTCCTTGCAACGTTTGGCTAAATTATTTTTCCCTATTCATTACCTATTCATGAATTTAATAGGTTCTTTCTCTCACGATACATACATCAAATTAACTGGCAATATTGCTTTAAAATATATGCTGGCCATATTACATTTGAATGTTACCTTCAGGGTAACATGAATAATTTTTACGTCAAAAACAATTACAAACTGAACGGGACAAACGAAACCAATACGAATATATTCTTGGAATAAATCCCTTTCTGCCGAATCGTGACAATTTATCGAATCACGTGGTTAGGCAAATAATCATTACCGGCCTCATATTTACTTTGTCATTGCCGACTTCCGTGACACCCCTCGCTTCTTAGGGTGCAAAAATCAGGAAAACGGACGCGGTGCGGAGGGTCGCTCAACGTCCGTGCTGCGGCCAAGCACCGACGGCTCTGAGAAGAGCGGTGGCGGCTTGGGCCTCAGGCCTGCCAGGTGGCCCTCTCAGGCCTGGCAGGTGACCCCCTCAAACCTGGCAGGTGACCCCCTCAGACCTGGCAGGTGACCCCCTCAGACCTGGCAGGTGACCCCCTCAGACCTGGCAGGTGACCCCCTCAGACCTGGCAGGTGACCCCCTCAGACCTGGCAGGTGACCCCCTCAGACCTGGCAGGTGACCCCCTCAGACCTGGCAGGTGACCCCCTCAGACCTGGCAGGTGCCCCCCTCAGACCTGGCAGGTGCCCCCCTCAGACCTGGCAGGTGACCCCCTCAAACCTGGCAGGTGACCCCCTCAGACCTGGCAGGTGACCCCCTCAGACCTGGCAGGTGACCCCCTCAGACCTGGCAGGTGACCCCCTCAGACCTGGCAGGTGACCCCCTCAAACCTGGCAGGTGACCCCCTCAGACCTGGCAGGTGACCCCCTCAGACCTGGCAGGTGACCCCCTCAGACCTGGCAGGTGCCCCCCTCAGACCTGGCAGGTGCCCCCCTCAGACCTGGCAGGTGACCCCCTCAGACCTGCCAGGTGACCCCCTCAAACCTGGCAGGTGACCCCCTCAAACCTGCCAGGTGACCCCCTCAGGCCTGCCAGGTGGCCCCCTCAAACCTGGCAGGTGACCCCCTCAGACCTGGCAGGTGGCCCCCTCAGACCTGGCAGGTGACCCCCTCAAACCTGCCAGGTGACCCCCTCAGACCTGGCAGGTGACCCCCTCAGACCTGGCAGGTGACCCCCTCAGACCTGGCCGGTGGCCCCCTCAGACCTGGCAGGTGACCCCCTCAGACCTGGCAGGTGACCCCCTCAGACCTGGCAGGTGCCCCCCTCAGACCTGGCAGGTGACCCCCTCAGACCTGCCAGGTGACCCCCTCAGACCTGGCAGGTGACCCCCTCAGACCTGGCAGGTGACCCCCTCAAACCTGCCAGGTGACCCCCTCAGGCCTGCCAGGTGGCCCCCTCAAACCTGGCAGGTGACCCCCTCAGACCTGGCAGGTGGCCCCCTCAGACCTGGCAGGTGACCCCCTCAAACCTGCCAGGTGACCCCCTCAGACCTGGCAGGTGACCCCCTCAGACCTGGCAGGTGACCCCCTCAGACCTGGCAGGTGACCCCCTCAGACCTGGCAGGTGACCCCCTCAGACCTGGCCGGTGGCCCCCTCAGGCCTGGCAGGTGCCGACGGCCGCCAAAGGGTAAATTGCCTCGTGGCCCAGTATTTATAACCGACTCGGCTGCAACCGGCATTGAGGGTGCACAAATGTGAAAGTGGTTATTTGCGCCCAAGGTTATATAATATGATAATAGGGTTTTCACCCTTTTTTCTGCCAACAAAACAGGTGTTAAAATGTTAAAACACCAAACTGACACCTTTTACAAGGAATCATGTCTGCATTAACCACAATGCTTGTGGTCAGAATGCAAACAAAAAACACTCTGATAATTATATACTCTGTTACTGGAGCATAATTTGGCAACTGATGAACAGAAATCTGTAAATCAGGAGTAGAATTTACGACACGAACTTGTAAACAGAAAGGAATGATATATGATCGGGCTGTTAAGTCAGCATAGCCTACAGCAAGCCTGATAGAAGATAAACAATAGAGAAGATATAATGTAGTCTTTTTTGTAAACAGAAACCCAACAAAATATGCAGAAGATTAACTTCCTATTTATAGATGCGAAACCCTACACTTCAACTTGTTTTTGACAATTTTATTAAACAATTACTTGGCTTCCAGGCACCAATGGTGAAATTATTCTCGCAAGAAATGTCTCCCCGGTCCCACGAAAGACAATTTCGTATTATTATTCATAATATTTCACCTTCTCAGCTTTAAAAAGCAAGTGATACTTAAATTTGATGGACGAAAATAAGCCAAATGCAAATGTAACTAATTAAAATGAAAATAAAATTCACCTCCTAGATCTAAATTATAACTTTTTATCTTGCACCACAAATATGCATAATTCATCACTTTATTTCAAGCGTGTGTTGTTCTCTGCGGCAACACATCATCCAATGTTTCTCGAGTCGCAATGTCAGCTAATTCAGTGCGACGAGTGACGATTTTTAACGTTCAAATAAAAAAATAAATCTTCGTTGGGTGGGGAAAGCGGGATTTGAAAAACACACCGATGCAGTTAGAAGTCAACATTAAACCTCGGTGGCCGGAGGGCCATCGCGAATGAGAGCCCCGCCAGAGCGCTGAACCAGCTCCGTTGAGTGTGTGCTCTCAAGGACAAGTGCGGGCTTTAATCTGTCCCCTCCGTGTGATTGTACTCGGCTCAGAAGGGGGCGGGTGGGCCGGCCGGCCGGGGGGGGGGGGGGATCAACAGACAGGACCAAATTGTGCACTGGAAATGGACGCAGTAGAGCAGGGAAGGGGGCAATCTCCCGACTGAGCAAATAGAGGTGCGCTGGCAGGGCAATGGTGTTAGAAGTCAAGGTGCTGACGATGCTGTGGGCTGGACAAGCCTCGCCTGACGCGAAGATAATTGTCCTATCCAGAAAGATTGTATTACAAGGCAGCTGCCGGGGGGAGTTTGGGATGTTGCTCCCGCTACTCTCGTAGGATCGTCGATAAGTCACTGTAAAGTTTCTTGCACGTGACATTCTTTTCAGGGAGCCAAATGGCAACGTCGAGGTTTGCTCGCAACGAGAGGATTTCTGTCGGGAGTTCGTGTAGCTTTGCTACTCCCTTGTTGAAGGAGCGCAGACTACAGTGGTTTACTTCCTATACGTTCCATAGTTTGGATATGCATGGTCAAAGACGCACTGCGGCTTGCCTTTAATTTTCCATCAATCAATGACGGAGAGGTCCGCATCAGTCCGTTGATGTTCTTGTGCGGTTGATGGTTACACCTATAGTGTCTTCGAGGAATTTCAATGTTCGAGTCTTGTGCTACCTTAAACACAACTAATACCGCCATCGAGGCTAAATCGACGTCGTTAATTCAAATCCCATACATGGTCAGTTTTATGAACCGAGCAAGTAAAACATGAAAGTTTTACGAACTGTGTAAGTAAAACATGGAAGTCATAACTTTAGATACAAGCACATTTTCACGTGCTAAAATGACTCCACGGCTAAGAGCGCTGGCTTGTAATTAACGTGACATGCATTTTAACAGAAAGATAAATTGTAATCTAAATGTAGGTAAAACGTAGCGTTCGTGACCCTGCGGGGCGATGCTAACGTAACAATAATAGAGAGCTCCGTGGACGCTTGCAACGACAACCCAAAAAAAAAACACGAAAGTTTTAGTCCACACGCGTGTGTGCGTATCAAGCGCGGACCATAATTCGAACGAGCTCACCGCTTTCACGTATTTACGTGAAATATACACAAAGTGCAAACAACAAACAAATAAGACCAATGCTATTCTCAGACTTGAATCTTTACGAACACTCCAAGTCGCAGCTTGTCCCACAGCTCAAGCAAGCAATGGGGCTCACATTTGTCTGTTGTCGGTCCAGAGTGTTTGCAAGCATCCCCCCTTAACCAGATATATTTTATTTAAGAGAAAAACCGCAAGCAGGGGAAGATAGAGCGTACAGGGGGACGCCATGTGGGGGAACGGTTGCACTTTTGATGAAAATAAAAAAGAACAGGCTTTAGCCTTTCTGGCAATATAACAGGAGTTGTGTTAAAGACGTTTAAACACCAAAGACTGAGCGCTATTGCAACGCTTCAAGTCTGCATTAAGCACACATACTTGGGGCAAAAACATACAAACATGCTATGGTGATATATGCATTGTCTTTTAAACCGATTGACCTACACCAGAGTCAAGACCATGAAAAAGGCTGTCTCTGGTGTAAGCCAATCAGTTTTAAAGGTTGCGCGTTATTTTGCGCACGGTTGCAATTTGCTCTGCTCGGTTGGCGTTAGCCGCCGAGGTCGTGACGGGTTTTATTTTTCATTCCCGTTGCTCCATGCTCCCTGTAACCATTCCCGTTCCACTGTAATGTGCACTGATGCCTACTTTACTGAGGGCGATATTGGCATGTAAAGTAAGGATTGACTGATTGATTAATTTCACAACAGGGTGAACCGATGAAAAAGCTAGCAACGGGTCAGCAATAGCAGAGCACACCCTTCCTAGACAGACCGTCAGCGAGCCGTGACAGAGACACACAAGATGTCGGGGGCACGGACGACTCGTGCATCCGGTATTGGCACGTAAAAATAAACGATTGGTTGATCAAGCGCGAAGGATGCGCGTAAACACGCACACGCGTTCGACTCCTGCCGCACACTGTACGTAGCAAAACCGCGCCAATCGGGAGGCGCGAAACGTCGCACCCCGCTACGGGTTTCCCCGCCCCCCGCCGAGTCACCTGGAAGACGGCCACTCCCACGTCGCTCTGTCCGCGCAGCATGGGGGCGGCCGACGTCCAGTTGTCGGCCGCTGGCGAGTAGAACTCGCAAGAGAGCACGTCGGCGTAGTCGCTGGCGCCGCGGAAGTGGTTGCCCCCGATGACGTAGAGGCGGTCGCGCACGGTGCACATGCAGTGCAGGCCGCGCACCGTCGACATGGGCGCGCGCTGCGTCCAGCGGTCCGACTCCGGGTCGTAGCACAGCAGCTCCTTCTGGAAGGTGTCGTGCGTGATGCCGCCTGCGGGACACGGGGCGGCGCGTGCGGATGCGGGGGGGGGGGGGGGAAGTTGAGTACGCGGGTGGTGGGCGCGTGAACAAAGGGAGGACGCAAACACACGGACGTCCGGTCCAGCCGCACGGGACCCTATGGGCAACATAGCTATCCCCCCCCCATTGTTCCAATTATATTTTAGGAACTTTTTTTTTTTACACAACGATACAGCAAAACAAGGAACCGAGGTACACATCTTCCAAGTGACCAATGCAAATGCGCCTAGTCGTAGAGATCCCCGGCTATGATCTCAGGAGTAGGCAAGAGTGAGAGCAAGAGGGAAAGGAATAGGACGAAAGCAGAAATAAGGGAAACTAAATAAATAAACAGAAACGGATGAAAGAGATTACATTAGTGGGGGAGGGTCACATCAGGAACGAATCAAACGAAGGGTCCCACCGATGACCCTCTCATTTCTACTCTCCTTTTGCTTGGTGGGAATTTGACCGGCAGCATTTCTACACGTTCACGTCGAGGCTGGTGAGGGAGCCATTGGGACGGCTGCAGAAGTCGCCTCGTGAATGTCCCAAACACAGCTGCTGGTGAATGATCAAAGGAGGGCAGAGTGCGTACTCCATGGGCCACAGTTTCGCGATTGGTAACTGCACCTCGGCTAAGGTGTCATTAAATGTAGTGAGGACATCACAACGGCTCTGTTGGGCAAAGCACATCAGGAGAGTCTTAAAGTATTGAATGAGTTGCATTGACATTGGCGGGAGAGGTTTTAGGGAGCGCTACTCATTCTGGCACGCGAAGAGATGGTGGAGAGTTCAAGGAGCTGCGTTACGAGCCCGGAGACCCCAGTTTGAGTCCCGGTCACGGCTAACATCGGTGGGGCGAGTGATGTCTCAACCAGTCCCTGGTCCCCCCGCCGCTTTTAGAAACTCGCACCGACCAGAGTGGTGAAGCATGGTCAAGTAACTCCCACAACTCACAACGCACTGGCGCTCCTTCACCCACAGGTTACATTTATTGAGGCTTGTGTGGCATGCAAGGTGGAGGTGTGGCCAGTACCACACTAAGTCCACCTTCAATTGCCAGATTCAAGCCCTAAAAATCAAGTTCCCTTCCAAGGAGACCCCTCCCAGCCACAAGTCCCCAAGTGAGCCCCCTTCCTAGGGGTCCCTTCTGCCCCCAAGCCCCCACAAGCGATTCCCCATTCTCGGGGTCCTCGCCTGGTAAAGCCCCCAAAGTGAACTCCCTTCATAGGGATCTCTCCCTTGTGGCTGGCCCCTCGGTTTCCTCCACCCACAAGGTACTCCCCGAGGAGCCAGCCCACTCGACAGGCCTGTGGTGTGTTCACGCTCTGGCTTTGGGCTATCGCCAGTGGGCAGTAGAAAATATCCTCTCTCTCCGTCTCCCATCTCTCCCGGTGCGACCGGCGGTGGCTGGCCCCCGCACGCGTGGCGTCGCTTACCGGAGATGTACATGAGGTTGCCGTAGACGGTGCCGGCGTGGCCGTAGTGGGGCTCGGCCATGCGTGCCACGTACGTCCACTCGTTGCTGCTCGGGTCGTAGCACTCCACCGTCGCTGCATGCCAAAACGCGCACGCGGACGAGCGTGATGCGCGTGCACACGGAGGAGGGGGGGAAGCCGCAAACTCGGCGGCAGATGCGTGCTCGGGATGCGCGTTGCAACGAGACGCTGCGCGAGTCTACGCTGCGTTGCATTGCAACGACGCGAGATGCGGTCGCAATTAGGCGTCCCGTAAATTTATACTGCTATTTAAGACCGGGAGCAAGAGCAGAGCCTCACCATTCTGGCGAATTGCCCGATGATGCTGGATGCAATTAACTATTTGTCTTTTGTCAACGTGACACTTTTTTGCTGATTGGCCGTGTCGGGTGGTGGAGGGTTACGACACATTTATAAATAACGCGATCTAACCCAAAAACGTTGATTATGAATAACCCAAAAACGTTGATTATGCAAGTTGTATGTTGCTGCTAAACAAACAATTCTGAACTATCTCATGTTCCTGACCATGTTTTGGAGCTCCACATTTATAAAGATCCTTTATGTAGTTGGGCTCTGTGCACCGTCGAGGCCAGTGCTGTTAGCGAGCACCGATGAAGGCCGGCACACGAGTGGTGGTGTGCTCAGCATCATGCGTGACCGTGTTTGTTTCCCGAGTGCGGACATTTACATTCCGCACCAGAAACTCAGAATCAGATTATTTATTCATACTCGAGGAATCCGATGAGCTATAAAGCTCTTTTTCATCCAAGACCACACCACGGCCTCGTATGCAGTGTCGCCCTTCAAAGTGCTCGCCTAGAGCACTTGCCCCAACAGTCTATCCAAGGGCTATACGGGGGAATCACTGTCTTTGTGTGCCGGCACGCGGCTCCGTACCCAGTTCACCGGCGGCGTTGCGGCCGCCCACGGCGTACAGGCGGCCGTTGAGCGCGCTCAGGTGGAAGAAGGTACGCTTCTCGTTGAGCGGTGCCACCTGCGCCCAGCGGTTGTAGCGTGGGTCGTACCGGAAGACCGTGTCCACCGCCGTCTTGCCCTGGCCACCCAAGCGCGCAGCGGGCGAAACGTAAAGACATTCACGACAGCTGCTACCAATGACTGCAACCAGCAAAATAAAATCACGGTGCATTATTGCTAGGTATGCGCGAGATGAATTATGGCTCCAATGAAGGCATCTAAAAACTGTGTTATCCACGGTGCTTTTGTCGATTGTTGCTACCAATACCGACGTCCCATTCCGTAACAACAAAGCCATCAAGGTAAACTCGGAATATTTAGATGGCGTTACAGGCTCAAGAGCAGACCAACTCGACCGCTGTACAGACATTGGCACTGCTGATCAGCTTGAGTCAATGCCGTAGAAGAAAACAATTATCTTGGCATTCAGAGGAATCGCCAAAGGCTCGGAGATAATCAGAAGCCAAAACAAATCACTGTAATGAGACGCTAATGGACATGTTACACTGAGCAAGATGCACGACACAACTTTGTAAGCACAAGCTGTTATTTTTTTTGCAACTGGGCAGCATGAGTGAGCCTTCTCTTTGCCCACGGGGGGAGGGAGAGAACAACAACAAAAAAGGTTAAAAAGTAGAAAATCAAAGACAAAATAGATTAAGGGAAAAGAGTAGAAAGTAGACGCGCAACAGCAAAGGAGCTTGTTGATAAAAGGCCCCCTTTGTCCTTTGCAGCCGTCACACTGCTAGCAGGCAGGCGGGCAGGCACTCACCTTCGTGTCGTAGTTACTCTGCCCGCCGACGACAAAGAGGAAGTTGCCGACCACGGCGATGCCGTGCTGGTACCGCGGCGCCTCCATGGGCGCCAGGCAGCGCCAGAGCCGCGTGCGCTCGTCGTACAAACGCAGCTCCTTGGACACGAGCAGCTGCTGGCGCAGCACGCCGCCCAGCGCCAGCAGGTGCGTCGCGTCCGAGCGGATGCGCGTTCGCTCCGACTGCAGCACCGGCTGCATGGGGGGCAGCATCTGGTAGTTGCTGGCCTCCAGGAGCAAGTTGACGCAGGCGGCGTCTGAGCGCATGAACTCCACCTGCGCGCGGAGCAGTTGGGTTCGGTGGGGGGGGGCGGGGGGAAGGTCGAAAGGTCAGCACGGCCAAAAATGTATTCCCGCCATGGCCACACCATCGACTGTTGAAGAGTTGACACCCGTCCTCCCAAAGTCTGATCTTGCAGAATCACATCATCTGGCTTCAGGGCTTCCCTTTGGCCACCAGGCCTCTGGATGCAACTCTCAAGCCTGTCTTGGAAAGCTGCCCTCCTCCACCCTGCGCATGTAATCCACCATGGCAACAACCTCCTCTCCCAGGTTACACTGACAATATTTCCATTGCTTGTTTCTTACTCTACCCTGCAATAACATCCCTACCATTCTCGGCGTGTACCTATATTGAAGACTCTGGTTCAGTGTCCAGATGTCCGAGCTGTCCACGAACAAAGACGACCGTGGCCGAGAATGTGTTAATGATGAGGATGAATGGGATTAGCCAAAGTTGTCAGTGTAAATTCACCAGTTGTCATCGGTGTGCTTTGTAATAGCTTTTACAGAAGCAGGTGCCTCAAGAGAGCTTTGCACAACGATCAAGCATACCCCCCCAGGCTGTATAGCCACATTTTTGGTGATATGGAATAAAAATTAATGAAACACGCTCCACTTTCCAGTATAATTAAGCTTGGTGTATACATGCATTACAATATTCCAAGTTAGTTAATTGCTCTCAACAGACATTGACACCCGGGGGAGAAACATGGAAGGTTTTTTCTTAAAAAAAACCATCGCGGCCACTTTAGCAAAGACTGATCCGTCAAAACTTCAGTGCTGACTCTGCAACAAGAAAAATGCTGTGTGGCAAAAGAATAAAAAAAATGACATTTCCTCAGCTCAGCATGTACTTTTTTAATCATTTCAAGGTGGCTTTTTTATTTTAATCTCTGCAATTTCACTGCAATAACCAGCACACGGGCAACGAGAAATGCATTAATTAACGAGGACGTGTCACTGATCAGGTTGCTCCGAGCCCCGCGCGTCAGCACCGCTTACATCTGGCGGTTGCATCCGAGCCAGGCACCGCTGATTAAACCAAGTTGCCAAGTATAGTGGGAGCCGATGGTCTCAGTTAAGTCAAAAATTACTTTACAAAAGCCATTAAATCACATTTTTTTCCTCTTCATCTTCACGGAATTAAGCTTATTCCAGTTCCAAGAAGGAAAATTGTCGCGCTGATTGCTAGGCGGCACGTGCTCTTTGCAGGGCCTACGTAAAAGATGTCCGCTCGTGGGGAGTGAAGAAGCCGGTGTCCAGGGGCAAGCTACGAAGTCGCAATGCTGCAGCGTCTTCCAGGGACAGCCACTTTCTGCTCAAACGTCATGTGCTGGGCTTCGTGAAATGTCACTAAAAATAAACATGTTCGCCTCGGCCACAACTTGGGACACCGCGAGCGAGCATTTAAATACTGGACATCCGTGAAAAAGAGCTTCACAGCGTATCGGATTCCTCCAGTCTAAATAATACAGATTCTGATAAAAGATTATAAAAGGGATATGAAAAGGGGCAATAAAAGCAGACGGATACATAAACAGACAGGATATAGCGCGTACGTTACGCCTGACATTGCAAATGTGGTCAAGAGTCGGCTCTCCGCCAACAGATCTGTGACGGTAAAAGGGGCACGGCAGGGGAGCGACGCGTCGTGGCACTGACCGTTTGGACTTCGTGCAGCAGCTCCTGCGGGGACATGAGCGGGAAGCGGATGCGGGACATGAGACGGGAGGCTTGTCGCATGCGGCTTCCATGCGGCTCTCCATCCCCCTTGCAGCGCGACATCGTCTGCACGAAACCAAACCAGACGAGCAGGGGCACGCGGATAGCCGCACGCGGACACCACACACACAGACGCACGAACGGATTAGCGGCATGCAAGGGGACGAACGAGCAAAAGGGGAAATGCACTCGTATGTATCAAGAAAAATGTGTTGAACGTCAACCGTGCTAATCAGAGGTGCCAGGTGAAGGACAACAAATAAAACACAAAAAGCAGTTCTAAAGAAATTAGTTTTCAATCTAGATGATTGAAAAATTCGTAACTTCAGTGGCTTCCTGACATCGGAAGGAAGATCGCTCCAGACGGCGGCAGTAGTGCACCTGAAAGCGCGCGATAATTTTGCAGCATTACAAAATTGGCCCACTGTTATGTGCCTCCACTATCAGCATTCCGACAATTACAGGGAACACATTGACCCACAAAGCTAACGAACCAAGTGCGACCGGTTTGGTGACACTATTGCACTCACTTCCGCTGATGGACAGTCAGCCGAGTGAGCTCTCAAGTTTATATGATTTATATGGCAATGTGTGGATATGTACACGCTGAAATGGTGCGTCATTCCTCACGTGCAAACGTGAGCAATTGAAAGTACCAACTTTATGCACGTCAAGAGTTAAAAAAATGTTTTACCAGCAAGCTTATATAAACTTGAATTGTGTTCATCCCCATTGCTAGGGATCAACACACATGAGTCTCTCTATAGGATGACAATTGATTTCCTACAAAGGTCCTGCAATGAATTCCTCATTTGATTGATCACAGATTTTACCGACCAATTTCTGTGCATGCAATACCCATTATAGGTGCCATCCTGTTTTACAGTGGATATTAAAGATCCTCAGATGTCACTCGGAATGAGCAGTTCAACTGTGTGCCGGTGCCAGGATGCAAATTCACCAAATTCGGAAATGACACCGTGAATAACTCTATTGGGATTAAGCACAGCAGCAATCATCTATCTATCCCTAACTGGCGGACTAAATTCCCCGGGTAATTCCTGTAAATGAGACTTAACGTGGGAATGAAGAATTGAGTCCACCCCCAACCAAGATTTGATTGAGTCAAGTGCTCTCACACAGGGGATGAGTGAGAGTCAAACAAAACCAACATTAGGCAAGCGAGTAAATTTACACAGCGTTAACAAAAGCAACAAATTACCAATTCAAAACATAAATCAACGAAAAAGTAATACAAATAACCCACGGATGATGAGTCTACATCAGTCTTCTGCCTGGGTAGGGTGTCGCTGCTCGATGCCCTGTGCCGGGCCAGGCTGCCCGTGCCACTGCCCACCCCGAACGCGCCGCTGCCGCTGCAGCCGCCGCTGCTGCCGCCGCCGCTGCTGCCGCCGCCGCTGCTGCCGTTGCCGCCACTGCCACCTGCGCCACCTCCGGCACCGCCGGCAGCGCCGGTGCCGCTGCTTCCCGCTGGCACCACCGTCGCGTCGCCAGTGTCGGCCGCTTCGCTGTGCCGCAGCCAGCGGCAGGTGGCGCGGAAGAGCTGCAGCTCGGTGCAGCGCTTGAGCGAGTCGCTGGCGAGGGCGCGCTCCAGCCGCTCGGCCGGCAGCCGCAGGAAGCCGGCGGTCTGCGACAGCGCGCCGAAGTTGCGCAGGATGAAGCCGTCGACGAAGCGGTCGACGGCCGCCAGGTGGTACGTGTTGGCGATGCGGCCCACCTCCACGCAGTTCTCCAGCGTCGTCTGGGCGAGCGCCGCGTGGAACGTGGATAAAGGGGAAAAAGGTGGAACGTGGATAAAGGGGAAAAGGGGGGCGCGGGTAAAGGTGTGGCCCTGCAATCGCTTGCGTTCATCTCTTGTTTTCCTACCGAGTCTTCATTTTTTCATTATTTTGCTGCTATGTATTTCCAGGTGATAAGCCACTTCGTTGAGCTATCATTTGCGGCCAGGTTACTTAAAAAAACCTAATAGCTAATTGGGCTTTACCTGGTAAGATAAACATATTTAGTTTTATTTGTATCTTATTTTTTTTACTTTCCTATAACCTTGCACTCCTATTGTTTGTTGTTGTAACGTTCGGACCCGTCCCTACTGGTCATCTGTGAAAAAGAGCTTTATAGCCCATCAGATTCCTCCAGGGTAAATAAATATTCTGATTCTGATTCATTACAGGACACTTTGACCACAACTCTTCCACGCTGGCTAGATATCTAGGAAGAGGTGCAAGTATTCACCAAGCAACATTCGACCTACGGATGAATGGTCGTGTATCCTTCACCCACTGACCCCAGATAATAGAGGGTTGGTAACATGCAATTTCTGGCTTGACGGTCAGCTAGCGTGCAATTGCACGTGTGTCCCCAAGGGGAGCTGTACTGTAGTAGTTAGTGCCCTGCACCACAATGCCGGCAATCCGAGTTCAATTCCCGCTCACGAGCAATAACAGTGGCGAAAATATGAACCGGTCCCTGGGCATCCCCTAGATTGACGAAGCCTTAAATCAGTGCCTGGTACGCTGTGTAAGGCAGCCAGGCGTGGTTCTACATCTACACCACCCTCTCATGAGAAGTGCCGGTCTTTCTAGGGATCTTTGTATTTGTGTCCGCCAGACAACTCGGTCAGTTAACCCATAACACCTGGGCCTGTTCCATGACCTCCTGGAAGCAAGCCATCTACACGTCACGCGGCCTCAAGGCACACTTTGCCCGGCACAAGCACCGTGGTGACGTCACCGCCACTTAGTAGCAAATGACCGGGTTCCCGTGATGGTGGTTCATGCCCCTTGACGAGATCGGCGAGGTATTGAGATGGTTGTTGTTGTTGTTGTCGTTTCCGTGTGCGGCTTTGCTCACCTCCGAGATGAGGAACTCCGTGCAGAAGTCGAGCACGGGCAGCACCTGCAGGAAACTTGCTGCCTCGAGCGTCTCGTGCAGGCTTTCCATGCTCAGCGACAGCTTGGCCGTGTACACAAAGTCGATGATCTGACGAAGCCCCATGCCGCTCACCCCGTGCAGCTTAATCTGAGTCAGGTCCTGCTCTTTCATGCCGCCTGCGTGGGGGGGGGGGGGGGGCGACGCGATGGCCGACGGGGGTTGTGTCGGAGGGGGGCGAAGGAACGTGACACGGTGGTGGTGGAGGGCAAAAGGGAGGGCAAGGCAATACGGTTTTACAGAGGTGGTAAGCGAGGTATGGTCAAAGATGAACGTGGGTAATTAAACAAGGGACGATGGCAAGGCGAGAGGTGTCACCCTCGGGGTGACAGTTTTGACGGTGGTTCAAAGGCAGAGGAAAGGGGAAGTGCTTAATTAATTATACGGGATGCATTGGGACAACGTTTCTTCTCCGGTATGAATGGAAACGGCCTTTCACTCAAGAGTGCATAATGCATGCGGAGGTCATTTCTATACTGCAAGCTGCTATTGCTGTTTCATACGAATTTATTTCAGTCATACGTTTTGATTAGTGGAAGGGTTGGTATGTTACTCAGAGGCTATTAAGTAACTATCCACATGCCAATTAAAAAACTGGCCATTGATCTTCTTTCATCAGGCCCCAGTGTTAAGTGCAATCTCCAACCCTCATTAACCATCACTGGCCCCTCCTCTATGCATGTGCTCGGGGAAGCGGGGCCATTACCTAAAACTTGTTGTAAAAACGTGAATTTTTTAAGGCGGCGTTATTTTTGCTAATTCTGTCCTATGTTGTTGCAAGACCGTTACATAAGGGTGTAACATGATATGAAACATTTGCACTCTATAACTTTTTCATAACCAAAACATTATTTGAGCATTAATTAATAACTTGATGAAGCAAACCAAGATCTTATTCGATGTCGTTAGAATCGCAACCAACTTTTATTTTCAAAAGCGGACTGATAAGGCAATAGCTGTAAATTGCGAGACTCCGTAATTTTTTTTTTTAAAACAACACAGCACCCTCAGCTTTAATCCCACACACACTGGGTGGTGGCCTCGATTCACTTACCGTAGTAAAAATTAATCACGCAAAAAAGAATGTCACGAGGATCCACGACTGTGTGTTTGCAATCTAGCGCTACGACAGTCGGCTTCCGTGGACAACGATTGCAACGTATTGCATTTCGTGATCCTCAACCATACAAATAAACACTCCACCACGGAATAAGCTAAATACAACTCCTTAAAAAAGAGTCTCCAAATGCGCAAATCATTTTTTTTACCCAACTTTTCGGCGTGGTTAGTTTCACACGTTACGCAACAACAAAAAACCACACCGTAAAAAAATCCAACGCAATTGTGTTTTTGCGTGTCCTGCTGCGCGGATCGGAAGATGAAAGGTTGTTTTACCGGTGAACATGGCTTTGAAGTAATCGCTGGACGAGGCCATCATGGCACGGTGCACGGGGAAACTTTCCTCCCCGTCGCCCGGCAGAAGGGACACGTCACACAGCAGACCGTCCTGCCTCAAACGCTCAAACCCCTATTGCAGAACAAAGGAGAGTAACAGTCGGTAAATATTAACAATTTATGCTCCGAAATGCACTTGACTGCCGTGTGAAAGCACACACGCCTCAAACAAAACACAGACGTCAACACGCGACAAGTCACAATGCTCCAAGCTCAGGTTTGCCTTACTTTATTTTTACACTGGGGGGGGGGGGGGGGGAAACTATTCACAAGAATTTTAAGAAGTGTGCAGGTCGAATGTTAATTATTCTCACGGTGCCTCTGGGCCCCTTAATTAATGTTAAACATTAGCAAACGATAAGTTGGACAGAGAATTCACCCAAAGCACAAAGAAACATCGTCAAATGGGAACACTTTGCCAGCTGTGATATTGTTGGACATTGCACCACCGATTAGCACGGTTGGCAATGTACGGCGGAAAAAGTTCAACGTATGTACGTACGTACGTAGCGAGCAGTCACAAAGGCAGCTCCACAAATTGTAGAGCTGCATGAATAGCTGATTTATGCACAGAGGTCGTCTATGAATAGTCAAGTGCAAAGCCATTGCCAGAAATATGCGCATCTGTATTGAGATCACCGAAACAATGCTGCTCGTGCCGTGAATTGCGCTGTTGGGTTTGCGGCACACTGCACGTAAATGCGCTGTGCTACATTGCTTTTCACTGCAATGCTTCGGGTTAAACACTGCCACTTTAAGTGCAATTTACATTGCGTTGAGGATAATTGCACCAATTAACATGTGTATTAACCTCCAGTTGCAACATTTAAGCAGAAAATGTGCCACTACTTCAGTTAAGCTGTATTTAAAAGTCGACTGCAGCCAACGACTCTTTTTCCAAGTGGCCAAAGCAATGTGGGAGCCAAGTGTTCTGCCCTCTATCACCAAGGTTCAACAGCCCAAGAAGTTATCTTGACATTGTGATAATGCAACACGAAGAATCTTGCTGACCCTGCCACAGATTGTCTTAGCTCTAACGCGTGTCTCTATTAACAATGCAGCAGCGTCAGACCGACGGCACAATTGCAGAGCGGGCAAATTTTCGGTGGTTGCACCGAAGCTATGGAATGGACTCCCATCCAGTGTAAGCAAAACAAGAAATGTTTCAAGGAAAGTGTGCAACCTATCATTTTCAGCGAGTGTTGAGTTTCGTCTCTAGAAATGCTCGCCAAATAATATCGCAGCTTTCCTGACTGCAGGGATTCATCTTCTTGGTTCTTTCGGTAAAGTCACGTAGAAGGGAAGTAATAAAATAATAAAAATAAAACATAATAAAATAAATCTCACGAGACGTTGTCTCCCCGACAGACCTGGTCTTCACCTGAGGACGGCTGCTTGCGTTGTGGTCGAAACGTCGTGAGAATTATTCTATTATGTTTTATTTGTATTATTTTATTACTTCCCTTCTACGTGACTTTACCGAAAGAACCAAGAAGAGAAATATCACAGCTTTTGGAGTGCACGGTGTATTCCTCCTGGTCACGGACATTCGGTCACATCCGTCACCATAAGTAAAGAATCAACTTCAACTATGATGTCATTTAATGCATTCATCATTAAAAAGAACAGGCATATTCCAACTATACAAGCATCAGATTCAGGATCAAATCCACGACCTCCTGCATAGCCGGCGAGTGAGATAGCGTCTCACCAACATGGCTCCCATAAGCAACATTGAACCGTGTATTTGAAACTGCTACCTAATTACTACTCTTCAATGCTCGTCGATACCATTATGGATACCCTGCAAAATAGAATGTGCAATGTGTAAATGGAAGAGTCAAGTGTATTTTTTTTACAAGGCGAGACTTCTAAAGACCAGGATCATTACATTTGTTGTTGCAAATCGCTGGACTGGGGGACATCACGTGGACTTGCGATGAAGGGTCAAGTATCACCGACCTCCTCCTCCTCCTCCGCTGCACCCTAAGCCTCATTTTTCAAGCTGCACTGCGTATTTCGTCCCTTTTAAACAAAGTTAAAATCCGTTAAACCGGGAAGCCTGCTGGCTAACCTAACCCCCCCCCCCCCCCCCCCCGTGTGATACCGTGTGACAAACAGACTGAATGCAGGTTGCGACATGCAACATCCTCCAGTGCGTGTACGCAGAGCGATCACTGATTACGTGATATTACCGATTAACTTAGCTCCGTGCAACGTCCGCGTGGCAATCAGCCGGCCGAATGCACGTTGCGGCATGCACAAGCACAGGTGTGGCTACGCCAGTTAAGCAGCGTTTCAACGACTCTTTAGTGCGCGTGTCCCCAAATTGACGTGGAATAGTCACAAGGGTTTACAGGAACGGCAGCACTACTCCAATGTTGTGATTGATCCAAAGGGAGGTGGAGGGGTTTCTCCATTCCACAAAAAAATCTCTACAGCTCTAGCAGAACGATTACAAGGCAAAATCTATGCTTAGGTTAACAATTCAAGGGTACTGCAATTGACAATTGTTGTATTTTGAACGTAATATCTATTTTTCTGATACACGCTTCATTTATCTATAGCGCCTTTTAATTAGATGTGATCCACAACAATATGGCATTGCATGGCAGGCTTTCTCCCTTTTAATTTTGGATATTGTGTAATCTATGACAGGGTGATTACTCTGTGTTTTGGATATTGTTAATTACACGCCTGATAATCCGATGGGAAGGAGTAAGGCATGGATGTTGCATGTTTGGACACGGTTAAGGCACATGTATTTTTTTTTTGTTGGCTGTACTGTGTTACTGTGTTTTACTTTGTCAACCATGCTGACTCTGTTTAGTGTTGTTGCTGAGACACGCGAGAATAAAATGTAAATGTCAAATTGTGGGGTGGGTTGTCAGTTAATTTAAGGTGTCAAGAGCAATCGGTAACACTGCAGAATTATTTGTTTAAATCTAGAATTCATCCACCCGTGACTAAAGCAAATTTAAACCTAGTCACAAATGACTGGACACAAAACACCATCGAATTTAGTTTTTTTACGCAGCAAGGTTTTTAATTTTTATTTTGGGAGGGAGGGGGGGCATTCATACTTTAGGGTGAGCGTAGTTTAATCAGGGTCATTTACTTAACTTCATTTCAAAATTAAATATCACGAGTAAAATATAAATTAACGGCCAAAGCAAAAGGTGTAAGCATTGTCATTATTGTCGGCATCAAGCTGCGTTTGCATCACAGCCCTGCGGACCACCTGGAGGAGCATCACGAACCCCGACGGTGGTCCGGGGACCGCACTCCGAGAACCACCACCGCTCTCCGGCTTTACCTCCAGCACGGCAGTGCAGTGGACGGTGCTGGTGAAGAGCTTGGTGCCGCTGGGAGGGCACGACGGTATGGGACCCCCGGGGGGCTTGCCGGTCTGGCCTCGGCTCACGACGCCAGGCTCGCTAGCCAGCGACATGGTGAGAAGTGACTCGCCCTCCCCAGAATCTATCAGTGACCTGAGACACACGGGGGCGGGAGGGGAGAAGACACGAGAGCGTCGCAGTTAGGAAATCTGTTCGACAACACCATGCGTTTAAAAACCATCATCATCAACGGTCGACATGATATATCCACTGCCTGATGGCTTCCTCCTCATGTCGTCGACATCACTAACCGCCCTGCAAATCCACAATCCATGTCGCCCCTGCACATGACCTGATCTCATCGCTCCATCTCCACGATGGTCATCATCCAAAACCACTAACGTTTCTTAAAAGTCAATGTGACGTTTCGATTTTCTGATCTGCGGTCATCTCTCTCCGTGTGAGCATGCAAGTCTATTTGCGTACTTTTCAGCTCTGTCCCATTACCTCTGTCAGCATCCCGTGTTTTCGATCCCTGCCCTTAGCAGTGTAACAGTCAACGATCTAAAACTTTCCTCTTCAGGCACATTGGCTTGTTGCTTTTCATGATCAAACTAAATTATTCAGTAGCAATCCAACCTCCATTGCCTCACCCCTTCATTTCATCATTTTGATCCGCATCCAGCCTTTAAAAAATAAAATGTGTTTTCCAACTGTGTCTGTCCAACAATTATTTTTTTAAATCGATGCTTTGAAAGCCACGAGGCAAAATCAATTTCTGCCATTATCAAAGGAATGACAATGAGGGGGTAACGGTGCGACGGTAGTTTCTAACACGGCACTGACTATTAAGCAACATTCACGAGTTGAAAAATTATCATCATCATCATCGTTCACAACCAGAAAATAATTCACAACTAAACAGCGCACCGCGTAGGGCTCAGTTCGATCGGGAACAACTGGTGCAACAACTGCAACAGGTCGAAAACAACGCACACAATTCAAAGAAACGATGGGACCAATGCTCCTTGCAACCCAAGCACAATCAACCGAACCACCAGCAAGGCCAACGGAGAAAAACAGACCACCACCTTAACCAGTTCCTCCCCTCATCCCACCAAAGTGGTACAAACCGATGGGGTTCATCACATGGGGGGGGGGGGGGGGGGTGAATGTTACGCAACGTGAATATTTTTTCTATTGTTATTTGCCGACTGCAATTTACTTTACTAGAAAATGAAAAACAAGGAACGAGAGCAAACTAGAACTGTTGCCATGCCACAAAAAGAACCGGGATTAAACTAATTTCTAACAACTCTACGAAATAAATAAGTATTTAACAACTTGTGTGTAAAGGCAAAGAAGTGTGAAATGACAAACACTGCTTAGTAACCGCAGGTTAAACAACATAAAATGCTTATTACATGTTCAGAAATACATAGAAAAATGTTATGTCTGCTGATGTATATTACAATAGCCTTGAACAATTAAATTAGAATGAACAAATCAATGTCGTACATGGAAAATCCCGAGCAGCCAGTTACCCCCAGCTAGTTTGCAAGGGAGATCCCGTGGTGCATGTGCACAGAACAAGAACATCATCATCATCAGCGATCTGCACGGAGGACCGGGTTAACATCAGAACACGGAGGTACTGGAAAAAATAACACGTAAATAACAACACAAATAACAATATCAACAATAATGCATTAATACTATTAATTAACATTATTAATACAAAGCGTCATTTGAATGCACCTTGCTGCATTGGTCATTATTATTTGCGTTGGCTGGCGATGCCTCTTTAAAAATCGCTCCAATTGCACGCATATTTGTGGACGTATAATTTTGTTGCCTTGCGATTCGAATCGCCACGATGACGCATGCATCTGCAGTGGCGGCGGCGAGGGCAGCAGCAGCGACGACGACAGGATGTCCTTCACATCTCTCTGCTAAGCCAGCTCGCAATCACGAAGGAACAAGGAATAAATAAATAAAACCTGGCAAACAAAAAACGGTCTGACTCATAGCACGAGTGACTGCCTCACTGCCCACCACTCCACGCTCCCTCCACCTCTGGCCACCGTATCATCTCTCCCAATGACCGACGTTAATAATTATTTAGATTACCGATAGTATTTGGCTGTAATAAATTTCCACGTGATAAGCAATTTTGTTGTGCTATCATTTGTGGCCAGGTCGTTTCTGGAAAAGCTAATGGCTCAGTGGGCCTTATCTGGTAAGAAAACTAAAGTTTTGTTACATTTTTATATTTTTTTTGAGTTGTTTACCGGTCCTATACTGTGCACCACAATCGCGTTTTTGGATTGTTGTTTTATTGTTCTGACCTGCAGCTCATGGGATTCCTCCAGTATAAAGAAATATTCTGATACCTTAAATAAGAAATAAAAAGACATGGCAGGGGTTCAAGGAACAGCAGCACAATGAGGCGTGCGTTCGTGAGTATGGGGGGTCTTTGCGTACCGCCAGACATCCCATTCACACCGTCTCACGCTGGCATGCAGCAGAGAGGACGCCGTGAAAGCTCAGAACATGATGGTCCCGAGCTCACAGACGGGCGAGGGGACAAGAGAGAGGACTCTGTGTGATCCTGGCAGTGGCGGTAGCAGCGTCTGCAAGATCATGTAGTTCAAGGAACGGGTCGATGAGCACTGGGGGCCATCCAAGCATCGGTCCCTGCAGGGACATGGAGGCCTTGCTAACAGGGGTGACGGGGCAGGCTTTGCTTCAATTATATCTTTGGAAATCGTTGCTGTGTTGTCAATTGCCGAACCGTACGCGACGTGCAAGTCAATTTGCGTACTTGAACTGCGTGGTAATTTAATTAACAAAGTTGCCAATATGGAATCAGAAAATGTACGAATATCTTATAATTACATTCTGAATGCTTTCGTTTGATTGTAACTTTGTTTGTTTATCTCAAAATATTTAAGTCACAGCTCAAAGGGGTTTCGTCCGCACCTTGAAAAATTTTGGACATTACCAGGTAGACGGCTGCGAATAAAAAATTGTTAACCAAAGTATTGGATTCAAGTCAACGTTCAGTGTGCAGCCGCACCCATGCATAGGGATTTTAGAATAGTGTTTAATTAATAAATCAACTCCACCAACGCTTACAGATACTGAACACTTTTAAAGGCTGAATTTTACCGATTTTGCTACAAGGTTTGGAAATGTGCGGGCATGCCACCAACTAGCATTCTTATAAGGTACACTGTAATGAATATCCCTTGCAGTCTGCTGCTGTTCAATAACCTGCACAAACCCATCTCCTCCACTGTGGTCAGCTTAAAAGTGTTGATTTTTCCACGTGTTAAAGCAACTAAAACTCAACAACTTTCTTTTACTAGGTAAATCCCACTCGGCATTCAACTTTTTTTCAAAGGTGACATTAGCCACACACGGCAGCTCATCGAGGTGACCTATATCACATACGTGTGGGAATTGATAGTCGCGGCCAAATAATCTAAAAGCATGTCTGTAAATGTGGAGGGGACCAAAACCAGAGGGCCTGAAGAAAAATTCATGGAGAGTGAGAACGCGCGAACTCCAAATATCCAACAGGCATCGTCAGGGTCCGGGATCGAACCCACGACCTCCTGTTATCCCGGGTGAGGGAGATAGCATCACGCCACTGTGGCGCCCTACAAATATACACAAACTAGCTGTACTACCCGGCTTCGCCCGGGACTTGTATCTACCACGGCCGGCCGCCTTTGTCTCCCCAGTGGCGATGTTAATACGCTACAGTAGTTAAGTTACTCGTTTGAGGCAGAGTCGACCTAGGGGAGGTTCAAATAATCGTCACCGGTGGTGGCCGTGAGCGGGAATCGAACTGGGTTTGCCGGGTTGGTAGCGCAGCGTAGCGTTAAGCACTACACCCACCGCTCCTCACACACCACACACGCACAGACACACATACAGACACACGCAGACACACACAGACAGACACAGACAGACACACACACACACAGACACAGACAGCACGCTAAGCACTACACTACCGTTCCCCCTACACAACACACGCGCGCGCGTCCATAGGTACACATACACGCGCTTGCTGCAGACACACACGACTTTCAGGGTGCATACGGCAGTAAACGACTGAAATAATAAAGCGGCAATGCTGTGTAAGGAACGCCTTAGACCCGCATTATACATTTGTGTAATGCGAGCGTAAACACACAAACACACACAAACACATACACAATACACACACACATACATGCAGACACACAGACAGACACATAACACACATACATACACACACATACAAACACAGAAACACATACACACACATACATAGACACACACATACATACACACAAACACATCCACAGACGTACATACACACATACATACAGGCACGCAGACATACACATAAACACATACAAAAAAACCCACATACATACACACACACAGACATACACACAAACACACACACACATACATACACACATGCATACAGACACACAGACATACACATAAACACATACACATGACCCGGCTTCGCCCGGGACTTGGATCCACCACGGCAGCAAAACCGACATACATACACACACAGACATACACACAAACACATACACACACATACATACACACATACACACATGCATACAGACACACAGACATACACATAAACACATACACATGACCCGGCTTCGCCCGGGACTTGGATCTACCACGCCCAGCCGCCTTTGTCTCCCAAGTGCCGATGTTAATACGCCACACCAGTTACTCGTTTGAGGCTGAGTGGACCTAGGGGAGGTTCAAATAATCGTCACCGGTGGTGGCCGTGAGCGGGAATGGAACTGGGTTCGCCGGGTTGGTAGCGCAGCGTAGCGTTAAGCACTACACCCACCGCTCCTCACACACCACACACGCACAGACACACATACAGACACACGCAGACACACACAGACAGACACAGACAGACACACACACACACAGACACACAGACAGCACGCTAAGCACTACACTACCGCTCCCCACACACCACACACGCACACACACAGACACACACACAGACACACGCAGACACACACAGACAGACACAGACAGACACACACACACACAGACACAGACAGCACGCTAAGCACTACACTACCGTTCCCCCTACACAACACACGCGC